CGACAGAGTCTCGCTCTGTCACCAGGTTGGAGTGCAGCGGCATGATTTTGGCTCACTGCAACCTCTGCCTCCTGAGTTCAAGTGATCCTCCCACCTCAGCCTCCTGAGTAGCTGGGAGCCTAGGTGTGCACCCAGCTAATTTTTTGTATTTTTTGGTAGATAGGGTTTTGGCATGTTGGTTAGGCTGATCTCGAAATCCTGACCTCAAGTGATCTGCCTGCCTCAGCCTCCCAAGGTGCTGGGATTACAGCACTTTGTGAGCTACTGCGCCTGGCCTTCCTGACATATTATAGTGACTTGAGGCAGTTAAATTATTTCCACAAATGGAATGATTTTTTTGTTAGAGTGAATTAATTTGAATGAAGTTTAGATAACATGACTCAAAGGTACAGCGCTGCCGTTCTCCCCACCCATAATCACCATGAGTGCACACCTCTCGGGGGAAGTGGAACGGGCTCCCCCACAGACAACAAGTGGGGACAAGTGGACAGAAGTTGACTCCCCTCTACCCAGTGTTGCTCTGAGTGTTACAGCTGTTCAGCTGTAACAGTTTTTTAGTATCTACGGCACTGAACTGGGGTGCCTTGTTCTTGATGTTAAAACAGAACCAAAATCACTTTCTAAGGAAAAGCTTCCCCCTGCCCACCAGTGAGCACGGGGCACACATTGAGCAGGTCAGTGGCGTTTGTTCAGGCACATACTCTGTGGGCTCCATAGTGTTGACAGGAGTGTGCCAAGCCTGCCCAGCTTAGGGGGCAGCTGAAATGCTCAGAGCCGCCTACGGTAGAGGCACTCCAAAACTTGCCAAGAAGTCATCTCAGATTCCCTGCTACTTTGTAGCTTTCTGGAGTTCCAGGGTTGAGGGAGGCCACAAAAGCAACCAAGGACTACAGGAGGAGTGGACTTTCCATCCACTTTCTACACCCGAAAAATGAGCCCTGGATTAAGCCCAGTCAAGAGAGAACCAAATATCTGTTGGGTTCAAGTATTGCTGGCCACACACACAGTATCTTTTACAGAATCGCATGTGCTGTGATGCCATCTCCCTGTGCAGGGTGGGATGGTGGGCAGGGGGAGAGGGGCTTCCTTGGGGATTTGACCCGTGGAACTCGTCTCTGTGGTAACTGAAAAGATGTAGTTGGTGACCGGGTCATTACATTACACAGATTTCTCTCACTCAGGACCCATGTGAGAAATTTCTTTTCAGCCTCAGACTTAGAAATAGCTGTGTTTTCCCTGAGCATTTTGGCTTGTTTTTACCTTGTGACTGACTAAGCTTCATTCTCTTTATTAGCTGCTAGAAAGTTCAGAGCTGACCCCACTATATAGAACTTAGTCATGTTATTTTATAAACTCAGTGGCCTCTTATATCTTGCTTTGCTCCCACTTTACCATGTTTTTCTTTTTAGCTTTGAGATTGCGTAATCTCCATATGGATATATTAGGGATTTACCTAAAATTTCCTCTTACTCTGTACTTAGATTATTCCCAGTTTTTATTTTAAGCAAAATTATGATGAATGTCTTTTGCAGAGGTTAGTACCAGCAAATGATCGTATCCTTAGCTCCACAACTTCTCAGAGGACGTGAAGTCACGTTTTTGACCACCTGCTGTATGCCAGGGACTTTTTGCACTCATGTCCCTATCCCTTCCTCACTGCATGAGGCCCAGTGTGATTTATTGGAGGAGCACTCTCAGAAGAAGAGGGGCGAGGGAGCAGGGGCAGGCAGGAGAAGAGCTGGGAGGGGTGTGCTGTCAGGTCAAAGCTAGCCTTTTTCTGATTTATGGGCTGGGAAGAGGTGGGGGAGGCCCTGGAGCATAAATCACTCTCCAGAATTGTCCCCCCTTGAAGCTGTAGGGGACAGCATCATTTTCTACCCCTGTTTCGTCATTGGCCACTGCGGGGATGTGGGGGTGGTGAGTAGCCTCCCAAGCATACTGGACAAGGAGGCTCTAGGAAGTCAAAGATAATGTACCTGGGAAGGCCGTGAGTACAAGCCACTGGCCACTGTAGCTGGCCATGGAAAAAAGTGGGAACACATCATTCTGCTCTCTTTGCCATTGAATTCCGGCCACCTTTGAAACCTTTGGCACAAGGAACCCTAGGTTTCATTTCGGCAGAAACTTGACAAGACGTCTGGGGCTCTTTGGGACGTGGTGAGTGTTAGCTCCCGAATGGTGATGGAGCATGGAGGCATCTTGTAGCTGCTGTGGAGGCAAGGCCAGCCAGAAAAGCAAATGGGCAAGACGACCCTCAGGGTGGCAGGAAAAGAAAGGGAAAAGAAACAGAAACTCCCCTTTCGGGACTCCAGCCGCGCTGCAAGGTTATAAACAGGGGGTGTAAATGGCCTCACCCAGCCCTGAGCAGGATTCTAACAGCTCCCAGGAGCCAGTGAGGAGCATCAGGAGAGCACACCCAACCTGTTTAACAATACACAGGCCTAACAGGGTCAACAGGGGCCTGTGAAACAATTCTAATGCATAAACTAAGAAAAGCATGACTAAGATAGAGAGGGAATGCATAATTTTTAAAAAGATTATAAAGAGAAAACAAAAGTAAATTTTACAGTTTTACAGAGCATCTACTTTTGTTCTCGATGAAAGTAAAAAAAAAAAAAAACGAAAGTAGTGAAAGATCAGATAGTAGAACAATAGACTGTATGAAAATGCAGTGGACTGGGAGGCAAGCAAAGATAAATATTATGGACGGGGCAAAGAAATGTTACAGTGAAACCAAGAAATCAGTGGCAGAATTAAATTATGTTATCTTCAGGAAAGAGCAGAATCAGCAGAACAGAAAGCTGATTTAATGATGTGGAGGTATTTCTGAGAAGCTCTGAGAATTAGGAGAAAAAGAACAAAGCAATGTGAAAGGATGACAGTGAGGGCTATACTGTGGAAGGTGGCAACTGGAGAATGGCAGAGAAATGGTTCCAGAATAATTGGAACAGAAGCCATTCCCTAGACAGCAAAGGAGGGTCTCCATTTCCTAAAAAGAGTGCAGCAGACCCCAGGAAAAAATATTTAAAACATTTTAATGTCAGTCAGGTGTGGTGGCTCATACTTGTAATCCCAGCACTTTGGGAGGCTGAAGTGGGTGGATCATGAGGTCAAGAGATAGAGACCATCCTGGCCAACATGATGAAACCCCATCTCTACTAAAAACACAAAAATTAGCTGGTGTGGTGGTGCACGCCTGTAGTCCCATCTACTTGGGAGGCTGAGGCAGGAGAATCTCTTGAACCCAGGAGGCGGAGGTTGCAGTGAGCAGAGATCGTACCACTGCAGTCCAGCCTGGTAATTTTGAGTCCAGTCTGCCTCAAAATAATAATAATAATAATGTCTACAAATAGTTTCATGAAATTTTTAATTTTAAAGATTAACACTTAGCAGAAAGCAAAGAAACTAGTTTCTACAGACTTTTCTGTAACATTAACGTCCAAAGTTCGAACAGTATATTCCATTGTGAATTTTAAATTCTGTATACAGCCAACTTGCCCTCCACTGTGAAGTCAAACTAAAGATATCCTCAGATATATGAGACTTCATAGGCTATTACGTCTTCTAGTTTGGATTTGCCCAAAAGCATACCCTGATACAATGATGTAGGTACAGGTAGTTTATTTGGGGGTGGGGACTTCTCAGCGGTGAATTTAGATAGAGAAGAGAGGAAAGACAGGAAAGCTGCACTTTCAGGCAGGTTACTGCTGTGGGCACGCTGGGCTTGCCTTCCTCAGAGCCTCTGAGAGACTGTGTGTAACACACCTCAGATCCATTCCCCTCCAGGGTGAGGAAGCTGCCGAAGGACTGATCCCCCAGCTCCTGTTATTCATCATGCAGAACCGTGAACCCTGGGCATGAACTCTGGCACTTCCAGCCTTCTCTAAGTATGGCCCCCACTCCCTGGGGCCAGGAAACAGCGCAGGCAGAAAGATGTGGGAAGCCTTTGACCTGGAGGGGCGTGGCTTCAGGTGACCAGGACTCTGGCTGGTTCTGGGGAATGTGAGCGAGGTCCTGGCTGCATCTGCTGTAGTCACCATGAGAACTTCATGAAAAGTAGTTATCTACAGATAAGCCACTCAAGAATACAGAAGTAGTTGAATAAAAAGTGTACCGCAGCCACATAAACATAGAATGAAGCAAAACAATTTTTATGAATACTTAACAAGAGTAAGCAAATGTAAAAAAAGTATTGCCATGGTAAATGCATAATTTAAAAGCTTAATTAAAATAATCCTATAATCTCAGTTATACCAATAACAATCTGAGAAGAAAGTTGACTTTGTGACTCCTCTGCTTCACTTTCTTCAGGAAGGAGTTCAGACTCCTCAGTTCTTCATGAGAGGCCGTCCTGAGCCTGGTCCTACGTGCCTGCCTTCCTCGCCAGACCCTGGCTCACCATGTCCTCACATACTCACTTCAGTCAGTCACCACTTAATGCCAAAGCTGCCTTTACCCAGGAATCACCGCCACCTCCATTTTTGTTCAATGAACTACTCTGCCCTTA